TCCCTGCTCGTGGGCGATTTTGTAGAATCTGTAATTATTATTCACTTCTATCGTAACATAGGCCTATGCATATTATTCCCAGGTAATCCAGTTACAGTGCCGACCACAATGGCCGCGCTGTCTAAGGCAAGAACCAGCTTCGCCCTCTCTAACACTGGGATCGTGGGTTCAAATCCCACTCGAGGCATTAAGGTTTCTGTGCGTTTATTCTGTGTTTATCTTGTTCTGAGTGTAGATCGGTTGATCCCCCGTCCAAAAATTCCTACCGACTCTGTATAGATTAAGAAACTGAAAAAGCGGCCAAGGCCCACAAAGCTGTAGACCAATAAATACGTAGATACGCGTAGATACGAGTACATAGACTCCAGTACACGACGCTATTGTATTAAAGTTAACGGAATTATGTATTTTTCAGTTAGAATTAAAGTAATCGAAACCTAAGAAGTAACAAAAATTTCGAGTTGCCGAACATTCTTTGGAGAGCAACTATTATGTAAGTAGAGGAACACCTGTGCACAAAATAACACCAATAAATAAGTAAGGAAATATTGGCTTGCACATAACAATTATGGCGCTATCGCTCGCTTCTATTTTTATACATCGAAAGCCTTAAAACTTGCGAAAGAAATTATTTCGGATATAAAATATATTTCACTTCTCCTGTACCTCTCGTTAGAAAGTTCCCCCCTCTTCCCTCTCTGATGAATATTTTGCGCGCTACGCTTAAGACTCATGGTGGAACGTGTAAAGACCTTCAAGTAATTGTCCGTTATTTTGTAGGTTTTTTCTTTTCCCAAATTGGTATAGGTCTTTAAGCATAACATTTCATGATATTCCTCTTACCTGTTTTCGAGTTGTTACATGCTGAGAGACGGATATGACGCAGGGAACGGGTGCAGAAGAGAAAAAACGGAACACGAAATCAGAGCGATTTCCCGCAGTGACTCGAACTAATTCCTAACACAAGGGAACTAACTCCTGACACAAGGGAACTAACTCCTGACACAAGGGAACTAACTCATGACACAAGGGAATTAAATCGCTATACAACAACGTACAGTGTGGTTAGACCTATGAAGATGCCAAGGATGATACTTGTAGATACACAATGACGATGACATACATGATCTTAATTAACATAAACCTACATTGAAAGCATTTCTTTGAAACTACATTGTACTCGACATAACCTGGAGAGCTTTCCAATATATGAAGCCTCACCTGACTGAGGAGTTATTGATTAGTACATTTACGTCACTCGCACTATTTTTGGAATTTTATAAAATCACCCCTACAGAGATGATTTTGTACTGTGGAGAAACAATATTAATACTTGTATGGCAGTGGTAAATATTCTTACCGCCTGTTTTAATATTCAGTAACTCATTAAGAGTACTATGCAGCCCCACGTATCTCCATGAGGTCCACCGACATTTCGGAGGAACGCACTGACTCTTATCATCAGCCTCGAAGCAAGAATCAAGAAGAAACTCAGCCTGTTATTTGATTGTTGCTTGGATTACTCTCCCATCGGAAATGCAGACGGTATATTTCTCAGAAAATTCGGTGGAGCTTACCCAACTACACGGCATTACGTCCCAGAAGATAGAACTCTCCATAGACGTCGCTGTGAGAACCTCAAATCCAACACAAAATCCTATTAACGGATCAGTTTGGTTCTGAGGAGAAATGGGAGCAGAAAGTAGGCCCCACTTTTTTACAAATTCGTTATCTATGATATTCTACATTTCCTTAACATTTATTTAAATTTATCCCCAATAGAACTCTCGTTCTAAATTAAACATAAAACATTAAACATTAAACATAAAAATTAGAATATACAAAACTATAATTTTTCCTGTGGTTCTGTATGGGTGTGAAACTTGATCTCTGACATTAAGGGAGGAACATAGACTGAGGGTGTCTGAGAACAGGGTGTTGAGGAGAATATTTGGACCGAAGAGAGATGAAGTGACAGGAGGTTGGAGAAAACTGCATAATGAGGAGCTTCATAACTTCTACTCTTCTCCAAGTATAATTAGAATGATCAAGTCAAGGAGGATGAGGTGGGCAGGGCACGTAGCACGAATGGGGGAGATGTGGAATGCGTATAGGATATTGGTGTGAAAGCCAGAACGAAAGAGACCACTGGGAAGGTGGCGGACAATATTAAATTGATTCTTAGGGAGATAGGATGGGATGGTATTGATTGGATTGATCTGGCTCAGGATAGGGACCAGTGGAGGGCTCTTGTGAACACGATAATGAACCTTCGGGGTCCATAAAATGCTGCGAAATTCTTGAGTAGTTGCAGAATTGGCGGCTCCTCCAGAGGGGCTCAGCTCCATGAGTAAGTAAGTAAGGGCTCTATTACTGCAAATACATTTTTTCCCCCGGCCAGACAGCCATTTTGGGAGATCAGGAGAATAAGGCGACGAATGAATAAAAACCTGAAGAAATTATGAACGAAATTATTGTTGGAGCTCAGTTCACGTTTTATGAGTGAACAATACATTTGATATAATGTGGCCATAGCTATAAATTGCGTCATGGACCTTATGAACAAAAATATTACTACGTTTCCATTACAGATGTAATTTTTACATTCCATACACAATGTTGAAACGTGACTATTTGGACTAGCTAACGAATGGAGGGGCTAAAGGAAATTAATGGTGGAGTTCGGTTCAGTATTTAATAATGTTCACAGTCTTTGCAACACTAATCGCTTTACAAAGAGTACGAAATTTTCCTTCTGTTTCATTACATTGGAAATTGTTCCTAGTAGAAAATGTTAAGTTGTAATCATACAGACACATACGTTCCTAAAATAAGTTATTTTTTGAGGTTAGTCAAGCGGTGAAGATTTGGTAGCCTTGACTAAGGACAGATTTTACTCATTAGGCCGTGTTTCTATATATAGGTTACGTATACGGGAAAACTTGGATGGGGAATTAGATGTAAGAATAAGTTAATTAAAATTAATTTTATGAACGTCAGGAGAGGTACAAGGTACAGCAGGAAGAGAACTTTATCAAATCAGAAGGTGGGAAAAGTTTCCATAGCTTGCTTAACATAACAGCGAAATGGTGTCTAAGAAACGGCATTTTATCTAAGAGAACGGAAGGTTTATGTATGATTTTATGAAATAAACGTTGGGACCAATCAAGCGGCTTGCATCTCTCTGTAAGTTACTATTTCACCTTGAAAAATAATATATCTTCTCTAAAAGAGCGACGGCCTTTGTCTAATAAAGCAACTGTGTTTCATCGGCTAAAATAAAAGTTTATCTTCTAATAAAGCAACATAATTTTGTTTCATAAAGCAGAGATGTTTAGTTGGATAAAACAAAGAAGTTTGTGTCTAATAATACAATAGGATTTTGTTTTATAAAGCAATGAGATATTGTTGGGTAATGTAGAAGTTTTTTATCTACAAAATAATATGATCTTGTTTCATACAAGAGATGTTTAGCCGAACAAAACAAAGGGGGTCTTTGTCTAGTAATACAGTAGGTTTTTATATTGTAAAGCAATTGAAATTTGTTGAGCAATACAAAAGCTCTTTGTTCAGTAAACTAACAGGATTTTGTTTCAGAAAGGCAAAAAGAAAAAACTATCCGTGTAACAGGCCGTGGGGTTGTGAGATGTCGAGGCTTCCACATTTTCTAGGCATTTGGCTTACAGATGACGGTGGGGTTTGTCAGCGCAGCCGCCCTTTACCGCCAGGAAGATTCCTGGTACTCATTTCTGTTACAGACTGAGTCGACCCCAGGACCATAATGCGGCTGGAAGGATTAGGTTAATTGAAAATTCCAACGACTCTTCGGAAATCGAACCAGCGACCTTCCGGCCTCTAGCATAGTGCCTCAAGAAACTACGCTATCGCGTGCCCCTCATAAAACAAGGGTTTTGTCTAACATGACAGCACGATTTCGCCTGATGTAACGAAAGATTTTTCTGCAAAAAACGACGTTATCATCTCAACAGCAACACAGAATTACGTCATTTAGAACCGTGGATTGGTGTGTGTGCGTGTGGGCGTGTGAATTTGTGGGTTGGTGGATTTAGAGACACTTTAAAATCCTTGGCTATATGCGCCCTACCGATTGGTGAGCTTCTTTTTCTTTTTTTTTTTGGTGACCAGGAATATTTGATTTAAGTATTTATGAACGTAATAAATTATCAGCAGGCCTGTTTTGTGAGAATACTTAAAATTCCAGCTCAAAAAGTTTTCGACTTTCCGACCGGGTGTGAACTGGCGGGAAATCACCACTGGCTATTTTCCTTTCTCGAAGTACTGATTACATTGTGGCATATAGGCTCGTTGCTAAGCAACAACCGCGAAACATACAAGACATCGGCTGTTACTAGTCAACGGCCCGTGAACAACAAGAGAGAGATGTTTTCTGTGAGGTCCGTGCCGAGATATTATAAGCAGGAGGGTGCCAATGGAGTTAATGAGGAGTTGGTCGGCGAGTTAGATAACTTCTGCGGTTCAGTCATTGTGAGCGGTTGCTGTGAGAAGGTAGTAGCAGAGGCCAGAGATAGTTCAGGAACCCAGAGGAAGGGGAAAGTCCGACGTTGGAAGCGTGAGGTCCGTGCCGAGATATTATAAGCAGGAGGGTGCCAATGGAGTTAATGAGGAGTTGGTCGGCGAGTTAGATAACTTCTGCGGTTCAGTCATTGTGAGCGGTTGCTGTGAGAAGGTAGTAGCTGAGGCCGGAGATAGTTCAGGAACCCAGAGGAAGGGGAAAGTCCGACGTTGGAAGCCGCTACCAAGCAACAGCTAGTGGAGAGTGTAACAGACTGAGAACACTGGTCTCTATATGACAGTGATTTGTAAAGTGTAGTCACGCGGTGTATCGAAAAATCAAATAAATCCGATTATCAATCCAAACCCCGTCTATAGTCACTCCATATGCGTGACAGTATCATTGTTTATGGTATTGTCTTTAAAGGCTGTGGTAATCGTAAATGTAAACAATACATTTATCTCACCTGTAGAGGTTGTACGTCTCGGCAGATGGGATGATATCCTGGCTTAGCTTGGACGTATCTTCTGAGGAAGCCGTTGCATGGTAGGACAGACACTCCAGAGCTACCTTCTGTTTGGCCATCAGTTTGCCTGAAAAAGCAGTGATTGTATTAGAGTTCAACTAAAACAAATGTAAGATTGTTAATACTGCGTGAAATTCAACGAACGATTCTCATAATAAAGGTAAAGTCGTCCCTGTGCTTAAGTAATTGAGCACTACGACATGAAGACATATGAGGGAGTGGATGTACATATAAACTCACGTTTTCTTTAACTCGGCACTACATGGAGAAGAGTGGTCAGCTTCACGACCCGACCGCTCTACCCCCGTGGAAAGAGCCCCCGTTACCCATTCGACAGGTGGCTGTGTGGGTCGCAGAGTCGGTCTGGACGACATGGATAAGTATAATTTTGGACCATACCGGGACTCGAACACCGACTCCTCGGTCTTCCAGCCCGTCGCCAGTCGCTATACAGACTGCGCTGTCCCCGGGGGAGACTTTCGTAATATTTTATACAGTTCTAATTGTAACGTGGAAACAAGAGACGGGGTTACATTATTTTTTCCCTTGGCACTACAGCCCCAGTGGGCCTAGGCCTACCTCCATGAACTTCTCCGTTCACTTCAGTTTTTCTTGATCTTACACATTCGGTAGGACTCCTTGGGCGGGTGATCAGCTCGTCGCAAGGCCTCTACCTGTACACAAACACAGAAAAACGCACACACAAACTAAACATCCATGCCCTGAGTGGTATTCGAACTCACGATCCCGGTTTCCAAGCGAGCGAAGACAGTACAATAATGTGTATGATTGTACGTATATGTGTGATGACGCTTGCGTTTGTAGGAATATAGCCTCTATAATTTTCTTCCCTGCATGTAAAAAGCCAGAGACTATATAACCTTCGTATTTCAAAGTTCAATTCCCAAAATGTCCATTTTTTTTTTATTTTTCTGCTGTCATTAATACTAAAAATTGAAGATGCTGAAATATTTAAATGAATAAGGCTAGAGGTATGTGACTGCAGATCCTCATAAATTACATTGCCAAAGAAGCATATGAAAAATATGAATCTTATTGGATAGAAACATAAATTAATTTTCCTTATATTTAGTTAAATATAAGTCATATAACTATTTATCTAATGAATCTCTGCTTTTAATTATTTGTATAAAACATATTGTAATGTGTAGCACCGTTGCTGTTCAACGATCGCGAGTAGGAACATACGTTGCTTGGTAGCAGTCGGCAAACACGTCAACAAAATATGGGCTGTCGCTAGGCAACCGTCCATGACAATAGAAAACTGTTGCAGGCGGTGTTTTCGGTTGGGTCCGTCCCTAGGCTATATAGCGAGGACCCCAGGCTGGCTAAGTGCAGCTGCAGGATATTTGCCGGATATTAACGACTTGAACGCGGGAAACTGAAGAATCTACACTGTTAGAAGCTGTTGCTAGGGAACGACTTTTAGAGACGCAACAGGCTTGAAAATGTTTAGCGGGAGCGTGATGATTTTTGAGATGTGGAGATCAGCGCTGTCGCTGTAGTTACTTGTAGTTCCGAGTGCTGTGTACAAGTGTGTCAATCCGATATCCAGTCCATACCTTCTCTATAGTCACACACATGCGCTTGACAACATACTGTATATGTATAGTTTATATATAAAACTACAGATGCATTTCTTTCTATGTGATAAGCTGTCTTAGAGACAATTTATAAAATTAGGAATCTCTTTTGTCTTTAAAGAGGAACTTTTAATGTATACATATTAAATTTGGTTTAAATTAAGTACGAGGTTTGGGAAATAAAACATACCATAAGATAGGGCCCATGCCAAATAATTTTAATTATTATGTTGGTAAAGACTAAAATTCGAAATATTTTAAAAGAAAGGGCAAACAGAGACAAGGAACATGTACAAAATGATGACAGTCCCTTCAGGGTCCTATGCTTGTGACACATGGGCAAAGAGAACATTTATGAACACAAGCAGCTAGCAGCTCTTCGATTTACGGATATAAAAGTCAACTAATATGTCATAGAAACAAATTCCCACATCAGAAAAGATGTGAACGTTCTTACCTTAGATAAGAGACCTACAAAATGACAAAAGCCTTAGGGAACGCCATATACATAGATAATAATATACTTAAAAATGCAATGAGCTTTACTTCACGAAGACACTCCAGTGGCTGCGAGATAAGAGGCTAAACAGAACTTTAGTAGCAATGGGAACGTGTCAGGCTTATAGGCGTATACCTTTGGGTAGATACTGATCTGTTGCATCACATTCAGGATCTATCTTTTAAACAGCACTAAGAAATTTTCTGTTTGGTGAAACTTGAATTATCCTGAAGAAAGAAGTCTTCTGGATTTGGCACCGAGTATATGTGGTTCCCACGGTCTCTTCGCTTGCGGATTTCTTATATTTTTCCTTTTATCCTGAAGATGGAGGCGATACATTCCTCCGAAACGTCGGTTAACACCACATATACACGGTGCCAAATCCAAGAAGACTGCTTTCTTCATAGTCACCGCCGTGAAAGCCTCGAATCTTACATTGAATTATCCTACCATGCATTAGCCTAACAATTCTTTACCTTGAATTCCCATTGACACTTACAAGCATTTTCGTACATTTGGGTGTTATGGATACCCAGGCCGCAGAATATAGCGAAGGCTTCGAAAATAGATACATCACAGTCTGAAAATGGATGCCCGCTGCCCTGGAAAAGAAAATTATAAAAATAAATTCAACATTTACAGTTTCTGTAGCTCAAACTACAGGAATTGTACTGGTCCCCTTCACATGACAAGACTATGCAGGTAAGGAAAGGTTATTGTACTGTCAGCAGACAGTATACCTTAGGAATAACTCCATTTTTTTAATTTACAAAATTTCATTAAATAATTTTTTAAGACCTACAGTCTCCTTGCAAATAATACCTTATTGATAAGTTGCGCTACTCCAATCACAGTCCTCTGCCCATTGACTATGGGCATGCAGAGGATACTCTTGGTCACGAAACCGTCTTCATCCTCGCGCATTTCATGGTTCATCCACGTGGTCACGTCGCCGATGTTGAGAATCTGAAAAAAAGAAAAGAAAAAAAATGGGAAAAATGACGTTATTTGATTCGGAAATTACAAAGCAAAACTGTGTCGACGAAAGATATTGCTGTATGTAGACTAGCTGATAGGCAACGACCACGAAATAAGCAGCTGCACAACAACCGTTGCTAGGTAATGGTTCTGCAAACAATGACCATTTCTAGGTAATGGCCGCAACAATTTCGAAAAACATGCCACTGGAGTAACTGGGAAGCGGTGTTCTCTACGCGATCCGTGCGATAGCTACGTGGTACAAAAATAGAACTGTTGGAAGAGGTGTTTCTGTGCGGTCCGTGCCCAGGCTACAAGCTACAAGCCGGAAGGTCGCGGGTTCGATTCCCGATGAGGTCACTGATTTTTTTTCAATTTACCTAATCCTTCCAGCCGCACTATGGCCCNATACAAAAATAGAACAACTGTTGGAAGAGGTGTTTCTGTGCGGTCCGTGCCCAGGCTACAAGCTGGAAGGTCGCGGGTTCGATTCCCGATGAGGTCACTGATTTTTTTTCAATTTACCTAATCCTTCCAGCCGCACTATGGCCCTGGGGCCAACTCAGCCTCTAACAGAAATGAGTACCAGGAATCTTCCTGGGGGTAAAGTGAGGCCGGCAAGTACGGCTGACAACCTCACCGCCATCTGTGAACCGATCGTTTAGAAGATGGTAGCTTCGACGTCTCACAACCTTATAGGCCTCAATGACAACGATAAGAGGATAAACAGACAGACCAACATACTTTCATTTGATAAGATACGGACCGTATAGAGAACGACGCTTCCAACAAGTCTTCTATTGTTGCGTGTATTCATTGCTGTCGGAACATGTCTACCAAGCTGTTGCCTAGCAATGATACATGGCAATATACATACAGAGAGAATGATGAGAGGGATTGTTAAAGTACGCCGTTGAGATGAGCTTAGTGGACACGTATATACCAAGTTTCGTTAAGATTAGTCCAGGCATTCAACATATAATAGGAGGATGGGGGGGATTCACAGACACGCAGACAGCATGTAGATCGCACAAGTCTATTTCAGGAAAATAGGCTAAGAATGTATGAAACAAAGCATGGAGTCACATAGTTCTGTTCTTCTACGGAAATCGACTTGCTTTTTCAGGGAATGCTCTTTTCTATAGCCCTTCCACGGGACCCCATTCGAACCCTTTGAACCTGTCCCCTCACCCCGAGTGTAATCGTCCGTCGTTAATGGCTTCTCATGCAAATTGGGGTTTGTCTGAAAACAACGGGCATTGGCGACATTGAACCGACAAGTGCGAAAGAGTAACGCCAAAGCATTTCCACGCTAGCAGCTGGAAGGCAGCACAGACGGGGCTATTCTGAGGCGAGGAAGTGCAACTGACGTCACCTAAAATCCTGCCGCATTATGACGCGCCGTTGGCGTCTCAGAAGCTATTTAAGGCATTGAGAGCTACCCACCCAACTCTGTGTGTTACATTTAGCTCCGCGCAGCAGGTGAGGTTGTTCATACAACAGAGCGCGCAGGTAAATTTAACCCTCAAGTCAAGGAGGATGAAGTGGGCAGGGCATGTAGCACGAATGGGGGAGACGAGGAATGCATATAGAATATTGGTGGGAAAGCCAGAAGGAAAGAGACCACTGGGGAGACCAAAGCGTGGGTGGGTGGTCAATATTCTTTTTATTTGATTGCTAATTTACAATCTACTCTAGTGACAACAGAGTAGTAAGTAAATGTCCGGGCGCCGTAGTAGCTTGTGATTACCGTCCACTGAGGGGTCTTCACGCGTCGCCTAGATTAGGTCTTCTGGCCAATGACGTTGGAGTCTTCTGTTCGCTAGGGGTTTGGGCGGCGACTTCATTTATTAGATGGTTGTCGTGGTCTACGATGCGATCTCTATATTTGATGGGGTTTTTGTTTATAACTTCCTTTATGAAGGGTATTCCGAGATCTGCATGAAGGGTTTCATTGGATAGGAACCATTGAGCGTAACATTTTTGACTGGAACGTTTGTAAAACTTTCGTATTTGAGGGTTTACTGCATCCCCACGGTTCAATCCCATATGTCCAGATGGGAGTGGTCAATATTAAAATGGATCTTAGAGAGATAGGATGGGGTGGTATGGATTGGATTGACCTGGTTCAGGATAGGGGCCAGTGGAGGGCTCTTGTGAACACTGTAATGAACCTTCGGGTACCGTAAAATGCTGGGAAATTCTTGAGTTGCTGCAGAATTGGCGGCTCCTCCAGAAGGGCTCAGCTCCACGAGTAAGTGGAGTAAGTAGTAAGTAAGTTAAGCACCACGCTATGAAGACGTATACGGGATTGGAGGTATAGCTCTGCTATTATTGACGTCGGCACTAGATGGAGGTCAATTGTCAGCTTCACTCGCCGGTTGCTTTACCCCCGGAGGCAGAGCCGCTGTACTCATTGGATAGGAAGTTTGCTGAGCCACAGAGTCGGTCTGGACGCTGTGGAGAAGAGAAGAACCTATTTGCCTCTGCCGGAAATCGAACCCAGGCCAGCCAGCCCGTAGCCTGTCACTACACCGACTGAGCTAACCCGGCTTGTCAACCTAGTACGGTTATATAAGTGAATATTTTTTATTATGGTATGTTACTTTAAACAAGACTACTGAAGAGTACAATACATTTGGTCGTCGACTTACGACAGACTTCCGTTCTGACTGACGGGTCGTAAGTCGATCTGGTCGTATGTCGGCCATATATTTATTAACAGTATTTTTTAACCTTTCTAACCTTTTTATCATCTTTATAATATATTTTTAAAAACTTTTACATTTTAATCATTTTTTATTTATTTTTTTTTTTTGTGGTCGTAAGTGAAGCAGGTCGTAAGTCACATAGGTCGTAAGTCGACGACCAAGTGTATACTGAAATGTGATGCCGTGTAGTTTGGCTGAATTTGGCCGGCGTTTCGGAGAAACGTACTGTCTCCATCTTCTGAGTTGAGAAAGGGAAGCAAATAATGCAGATAGGCTGTATGAAATAAGGAATATGGAAATATTGTTATAGCGAGTACGCTATGGGCTGCACGACCGAGGAATCAGGGTTCGATTCCCGGCAGGGGTAAGTGATTGTTTTCTCCTCCACAACTTCCAGACCGGATCTGGGGATAAAGCAGTTGGAACGTGATGCTGACCTCCATTTAGTGTTGAGGTTAAAAATAGTGAAGCTATATTGCCCAAATACGTCATCATGGCGAGGTGCTTAATTAATGAAGCACAGAGACAACTTTACATGTACCGTTTTAAGAATCAAAATGTCTGCGAGTGGAGTTCGTGTTAAAATTAGGAGAAAAACAAATTCTGAAAATGTCTAGTCTTATTAGCTGAAGAGATTACTGCAGGTTAGCTTTGTAATAGGGATGAGGTTGACAAGGAATGCGCGCGCACTTGTTGGAACTCCGAGATGGAAATTGGAGAATGAAATGGAGATGTTGTATTTTTAGGAAAATGGGTTTTGAGGGTTGAGGGGGATGGAATGATTGAGGATCATATCTGACAGATAGGTTTCTGTATTAGTAGAACTGAGTCTTTGGCAAGTACCCACAACAGAAAATGGTACAGAATAATTCTGAAATTTCTGCAATCGTTTCTGCAGTGGACACATTTTCTTTTCCATCAGAACCGAGCGACGTCGGAACAAGCGCACTGATACATAAAGAAGTCCCCCAAGGGCGCATCTCATACCTCAAATCTCTATATTGAAAAGGAAAACTACCCCATCTTTGTTGATATCATCTCACAATTCCCTTCCCTACCTGAGTTCTCTAAGGTCAACAATCGCCTTAATTCTTGCTTTAGAGCCATACAAAGTTGGGAGAGTGGACTTGAAAGGGAGCAGCGAATCAAGACTAAGAGTCCCCATGAAAAAGGATCGTTGCGTGTGGCACTAAACTCTAGAAGAAAAAGTACCTATGTCCAGGAAATTCAAACAATATTTTTAACCCTTCAAATGTTACATGTCACAATATATACATTGACAGTTGTTACAGTTGGTATTTACAGTTTTAATTACATAAATATGTAACATCAATTAATCAATTGTACAAATTCATCTAAGTGCTTACACAACAGCCAAGGGGTAAATAAATAATAATAATAACAACAACAAAACTTGCATTGGTATTTAAAATTTTGTTTGTTCATATCCCTAACTTTGTTTACGTTATTTAGTTTTAACTATTACCTTCTTTGTATATTTACTCTTTTCCTTGTTCATGACTGTCCTCATTTTGTGTATTCACTTATTTTTCCTTTTTCCATTGCTTTCATATCATTAACCTCTTGCTGTTTTCAACCACTTAAATAAATGAACTGAACTGAATTATACTATTATACATTGAATTCCTAACGCCAGAACGGAGCGTTCTAGGTAATTTTACTTTGTGTAGCCCCTGAGGTTCTCACGGCCACGATTATGGACAGTTCTATCTTATGGGACATGAAGCCGTGTCCATTGCAAATCAAGCGAAATCTCGGAGGAGCATGTCACGTCCGGCTTCAGGGTAGAATAGTAAGTCGAGCAAGATAAGAGATAGGAGCAGGCGACATTTTCCTCCGAGACATTCCTTGACTTTCAGTGGATGAGAATTTTGATATACTGTTTGGTATGATTGGTTCAGTGCTTGATGCTGTTAACTTACGAGGAAGAGTCAGTAAATAGGTCACAAAATGGAGTAAAACAGCTGTAATGTACGTAATAGATTTTCTATATGTATCACTAGATAGCAGCAGTGCAGCTCAGCTTCATGAGAGTCTAGGTAGCAGATGCGCATGCGCATGTTCAGAGGCTGGTTTCAGTAGTCAAATGGTGATAGTGCCTGACGGGTGTACTACCGAAAAGTAGCGTTCTGTTTGGCGTTTTCCTTTTGTGGGCAAAAGGACTCAATGCGAAAGATATATATATATATATATAAAGAAGTGTTTGTCGCGTAAAGCGGTTCACAATTGGGTCGAGAAATTCTCTAAAGGACGTTC